TCTGGTATTAAATCAGCAATATAATCGAGTATTGTACAAATGTTAGGTGTTTTAATTTCAAATATATCTGCATCGGCAATGATTGCTGATCGAAAAATGCTTTCCATTCCAAGTTGTAATTGTACATAATATTCCATTAATTTTTCATTTTCTCCCAATTTATAATTGCGTTCCAAATCCCACTTGTCTACGATCGGTGGTAAAGGTGCACTTATGGTAGGCTGTTGTAATTTTTGTTCGAATTGTTCGAATGTAATGTTCAACCATGATCGAGCCAATTTTTGATCTCTAAATATATTGTTCTTGTTCAAAATACCATCACGCATGGTAATCCACGATTGAGATTTGATAAAATCACTGCCATCATTATTGTTATTGTTGTTGCTACTCTTGTCTGAATTATTCGTTGAGACTATTTTAAAATAGTTCTCGACTTTTTTATATGTTCGATTTTGTTCACGTTTTTCTATTAAACGATCAAAATCAGCCTTTGATAATCGTAATCGACTATGCACAATACGATCGACATTACCATCGTTCTGTTGCTCTACAGCAATATCTTTCAAATAAAATAGATAACTTGATTCACATTTTATTTCTTGTTTACCGCCCACGTCTAGCAATAAATCTTTTATTTCGAGGAGACGTCCATGTGCATCCATATCTTCTGAAGCAAAATTTTGCAAACACATATCTAATGCTTTTGCATACAATGAAGGATGAAAATTATTCGAATCGACCATCTGTTGAGTACAAGAATATTGATACTGTTGACTGAGAGATGCCATAAATTTAGCAAGAAAACATGCACAACCTCTGCCCAGAATTGCTCCATTCTGTTGACAATTATCATGACATACAACAAGATCACATTTATCATCAACACTACTGATAAATGTGGGCGTACCCGGTTGATAGAGTAGTATAATATGAGGACCAATCATAGTAAAAAAATAAGTCACACGACCCCATTCATCTTCGAGTGGAGTGGTTGATTGATGAATAAAATTGAATAGTTCAGGTTTCAATTGTTGTTGAAGTATTTCTTTATAATAATCAGCATTTAATTCGGCGACACATTGTGTAATTTTTCGCAGTATTACACGATTTTTTTTCATCAATGATACAGATGATTGACATATATCCTTGCTCATATCGAGTAACATTTGAGAAATGCATTCTTCTATGTAAACATAACTCAATGTTTTCTCCATGTTCAGCGTTCAAAATGGCGAATTTTCAGTCTTTCTTCTCGATCAAAGGGATTGAAATCTAAAAAAAGTAAATGATTTACTATCTTGAAAAGAACTCTGTTACATAGAATTGATCGGAATAAAGTAAAATAGAAAAAGTTCTACCGACCACTGAAGTCAACGTTTTTCTGTGTTAGAAATTCTTTACATCGTTCTCTTTTTCTCGAAGTAATGATGTTTGTAAGCGATTGTAAGATGAAAGAGAGTCATTTATTCTCTTATGATAAGACGTTGCGATGACAAAAACACTCTAATGTCATAATTCAAGATAAGCTGCAGCGTACGACATAAGAAAAAGAAAAAAAAACGAACACCGTTGCTACCTTCATCTGATCTACGTCTTTTTATAGAAACATCATGCAGCTATGCGTTCGCTTTAAATGAAATAGACTTGTTTTCCATCATTTAATCTGAACATGTCAAGACAAAACAGAAGTCACTTTTTTCTGTCGAAACGCTATTCTAATTATCAACAAGATAGGATTGTGCTGAAGTTGAACAGAATTCAAACAAGGTTCATACATGGATGCTTCACTTCCTTGCTGAGAGAAAACGATAGATTCAGTACGAGTTTTTCATAAATATCAAACTACACGCAGTTTACGAAACAAATATTGGTGAATTGTCGTAACAAGTATCAATATTGAGACTGTTTAGTCTCCGTCCTTTTAGATCATCATTAGAATCGCGAACGAAGTTCTGCATTAGATTCTCTACCATGGTCTTCGCAATATTTTCGAGTCCAGAAAGATTAACTCAGTATGTTAATTGTTATTCTCGATCTAGAAAAATCCTATGTGAAAATTTTTCCCATTGTAAATGGTTTTTAAGAACAGGAGCTTGATATCTCTAAACCGCTTTAAAAAAAGAGGTGTTTCAAGCTCTATTCATCACTTTTTCACTCAAATCACTTATAGGTGCTGTGAAATTCCGAGAATCCAAGCACTTCTCTCTCAAAATCACTTCTAAACACTATACATCATCATGAATCCAAACATTTTCAACCTTTTTCTATCGCAATGCGTTGTAAAATAGGTAGAATACTCGGAATGCAAGCAATTTTCAGCACTTCTCTGTCTAAATCACTTGTCCTCACTGTAAGTCAACGTGAATTCAGGCACTTTCAACCTATTTTCTCGCAAAATGAGTGTAAGTCCTGTGGATTATCACGGTTTTAACGATTTCTAAGTAGCATTTCCCCAGGTCGAAAAGTACGAGCTAGTTTCGGCAGGAACTGACCGGAAAATCATCGGAAAAATTCCGAAAATTTTCGGCCGGAATATTGCTTCCACTTTCCACTATTTCTCGTGTTTTCCTGCAGGATGCGGTGATTTTTCCCGCATTTTCCTGCCGAATTCTGTAGCATCCGGTGATCGAAACGATCGACGTGGGTTCCCAGAGAAAATTGTTGGAGAGCAATACTCTTTTTTTTTGTAAGTGACATGGCATTCTTCATTCTATCGTCATTACTTCACTGAATATATTTTTGAGAATTCGCAAATTAAAAGTTTTATTTTGTAATTTCAAGGAATCTTTTTCAATCTCTTAATAGCAGGACACGTATCGTTCCTTTTGCCTTAGAGGAAGTTAGTTCACAGAGGGTAGTCCTCCGTTATTTAATCAATTAAGATTTCTGTTTTTATTCGCTATCGACTCGCACTAGTTGATGCTTTTACCTATTACAGATGGTAGTGCGCTTATTCTGAGACCTGCTCGTTCGGTTCCTCTCGGCATTTGCGTTTTCACTTTCAGTCACATAACCATCGTACTCAGATTCTTGTCAATCGCCTCCGTACATATCATTTTCTCTACTATTTCAACAGGATCATTTTCCGATCACACTTTTTTTCCCGACTCAACTCAGCATCGGCCTGCCACTGGTCTTTTTTCATCCACTTCTGTCTATTCCCTACATTTCATCAGCTTCCGTTTTCGTTACATCGCTGTTTCGCAATTCTTGGCTGAGAAATCTTTATTGTAAGGGTGATGAGTGCACATCTCAAGAAAGCTGCGAGTGTTTGAACATGACCTTCAAGACTTGTAAGTATTTTTGTAACGGCTAGAAAAAGCCAACAGATTGGTATTTTTTGAAACAAGGAGAAAATTCTCATCCCAAATAATGTTTAGTATATGTGAAAAAAATTTCAGCTCGATCGGACTTACTACGCCTGAGAAACGGGGGCGAAACAGCACTTTTTCTGTTAAAAATTTGATTTTGAGAAAAACGCGAAAACAATTTAGAATTTTCGCCGTTTTCGTTATGTAAATTTGATTTCTGCTCCAGTTTTTTATAGTTTAGAGACAATATTCGAGTTCCAAAATGTAGTCAGTAGACAGATGCCACTTAAGACTAAAGTGGCCACAAAAATCCAAAAAACTAAAAGACTAAAAATGCTGAGTCAGGAAGGGGGGGGGGGGGGCGGTACTCTTAAATTTTGATTACATACCGATATCGTTATTCATACTGTATCTGGTAAAGTCTTTTGCTGTAAGGCAATAAATCGATTACAAATCTCGCAGTATGCTATTAGGTTAACTTTCTCACCTGACTTATCCTGAAAACAAAAGAACTTTGTCCTCTTGTATTTCTCCAATGCCTATACTATTATTGCGTTTTCAACAGCTCAGCACATAAAGATCAAATGTTTTGGAATTGTATGCGAATATGTATAGTAAAATGGAGACCGTAAACGAGTGTTTTTTTTCGAAAGCGATCGTATTTCCACTCTTCAGATCACAGTGAAATACGATCACAATATTGAGTCGTTCGAAATACCGTATTTCTCCACCTGCCAACGATCACGAGTATGTCTATTTGATTGATTTAAGTTAATATTGAGAATGGTTTGCTCATGATTCGAAAAAATCGGATATGATGAAGTACGATAGCAAGAAAGAAGGGATTGCTTTGATAGAAGAGCAGAACGATTGTAAGTATCTGTTCAATATGTCGCTCTTGTAAATTAGTAGAAGGTTAACCTTTTTCTGAATCTTTCAAATCATATTGAACTTATATTGGTTACGTGTGTATTTTACCAAGTAAGAATAACGCAGAGATGTAGGACCGTACGCCTGGCTATAAATCATGATGGTGTTGCGTACATGCTATTATTAGTATTTGCTCTGTATGATTGGCATTGAATAGATTGCAACATCCATCACAGAATGCGTTTATCGGTAATGAATAATTTAACTACGAAGTTGAGTATGTACTTTTCAGGATAAGGCCTAATGTGCTTAGGTGAAGACTAGAATACTTTCTCTTATCAGTGATTCTATGTATACAAGCATTACAGTACCTGAGCCGATGACACATAAGTTATTCGATAATACACTTACATACTTAATATATGGTCTTATCAGAAAAAGCAATAATTGCGTATTTTGAAAAAAAATCTCGGATTTCCAATCTCATTATTCAGTGTTTTTGGTTATAAATTTACTACAGATGAGACTTTTAAATGGTCTATTTCGCTTTCAGAATACTTTTCGCTCATGCAGCAATCTTCGACAATTACACTATTACTTTTTTTTTGCGGTCTCATAAACCAAAATAAACATTCAATAGTGTTCGCCATTAGCAGAGACCTGCAGTCGGTAAATGCTCAAAATGAACTGTGCGATTACATCCCATCTGACGCGTATGTCTGGCTTAATATCGCCTTGGAAGCGACTGCTCGTGAACACATCCGTAATAACCCACGACCAACAGTCGGCTCGCGTATACTGGCGATCATCATGACTGCAATGTATGACGCGTGGGCTGTCTATGATGACAAAGCCATAGGCTCACGCCCTGATGGAAAGTTGCGTCGACCAAATGTCGAACGTACTCTCGTCAATAAAGTGAAGGCCATCGCCTACGCTTCTTACAGAGCTATGCTTTTCATATTCCCAGACGATGAAAAGTGGCTGGTCGAGCAAATGCGCAAGCAAGGCTTTGATCCAACCGATACCTCGACTGATCCGTCGACCCCGCAGGGCGTAGGTAACGCAGCGGCAGCTGCAATTATCTCCTATCGTCGACATGATGGAGCCAATCAGCTTGGTGATGAGATAGGCTCCAACAAAGTCCCGTATTCCGATTATACTTTCTATCAACCGGCGAATACGGTTGACAAAATTGTCGATCCAAATCGTTGGCAACCGATTGAATTCGATAATCCTACTGGAGGAAAAATTACACCTGGCTTTCTCACCCCTCATTGGTATCGTGTAAAACCCTTTGCCTTGCAAAGCAGCGACCAGTTCCGTGCACCACTACCTCCGACAGTCGATTTAGCACAATTACGCCTTGAAACCGATGAGATACTCTCATACAATGCCAATCTCACTCTGATACAGAAAGCTATAGTCGAGTTCATGCGTGATGGTCCAAACTCTACGGGACAATCGGGACATTGGCTTCAATTTGCCCAGATGGTGTCGAGACGAGATCGAAACGATCTAGATCGGGACGTTAAACTATTCTTCACAGTGGCAATTGCAGCATTTGATGCTTTTATCGCAGCATGGGACACAAAACGCTTTTATGATTCGTCTCGTCCGTGGACGCTTGTACGACATTACTATGCTGGTAGAAAAATTAAGGGTTGGGCAGGTCCAGGAAAGGGTGTCATAACGCTGAACGCCGAAGATTGGCATCCGTATTCGCCAATGACCTTCATAACTCCTCCATTTCCCGGTTATGTCTCAGGACATAGTACTGTGAGTGCCGCTTGTGCGACAGTCTTGCAATTATTCACTGGCAGCGATAGTTTTAATGAGACGGAGAAACGTCAAGCCGGACTCTATACCGAGCCCGGTTTCGACTGTAAGACCATCCAGATGCACGACGGCATTATTTCCTCAGAGGTGAACTTATCCTGTGACGTCACTCTGATGTTGCCGACTTTTAGTGCGGCACTTGAGATGGCTGGTATTTCTCGTGTAATGGGTGGCTACCATATACAGACGGACAATATCGAAGGCATAAAACTAGGTCGCCGTGTTGCAATGTACATATGGCCGAAGTTGCAGGAATATTTTAATGGAACAGCATGGGTTGTCGAATCATCTTCTGCAAAGCAATGGAATAGAAGACCTTTCACTTTACTGACATGTATAATATTGGTTTTTTGTTTTTGATTTACTCTGCAAAAATAAGTGATGAATCAATTTTACTATTACCTAATAACACTTCTCATGCGCTTGATTGATGGTGTTTTCAGCCTCTAAAAGGTGGGTACTAAGTTCTGACCCGTTTAATCTATAGTATTTTTTTTATATATTTCTTCACTGAATAAGGTTGATATTGGTAGTGCATATACTAGATATGTCTACATATCGTATGCCGGAATGTCAGCTTATCGACGCTGATTGACAGTCCAATAGCAGTATCTTAACATTTTATGGAAGATTTTCACTTATTCTGTGAAAACATGGTAAATCGAAAATTAAGAACTATTTTATGAGTCATTTTGCAATGATCCATGATTTCTACGAGCCATTTTTGTCTTCTGTTGTTTCTTCATGCAGTAATGCGTCAAGAAAAATTAGAACGCTATTTTTCTTTCGATTGGCACGTACATGGATAAGAGAATAGAACTGAAAAATGACCTTCAGAAAGGCCAACGTGCCTCTCGATGAGAACATTCGTGAATGATTTTTTTTTGATTTTTCTTGACTTCCTATCGGTTAACCGTTCGTGTTGAAATTAGTCAATTTAAGTTTACTTGGATTTCTTATGCTCTAAGTCAGTATCAAATAAATTTTATACTCGATATTATGTCAAATATTTTTCAAAATAAGAAGGAATTTCGATTGATTGAGGTCCTCATTTTTCTTGACGCATTACTGCGTGAAGAAACAACAGATGGCAAAAATGGCCCGTAGAAATCGTGGATCATTGCAAAATGGCTCATAAAATAGTTCTTAATTTTCGATTTACCATGTTTTCACAGAATAAGTGAAAATCTTCCATAAAATGTTAAGATACTGCTATTGGACTGTCAATCAGCGTCGATAAGCTGACATTCCGGCATACGATATGTAGACATACCTAGTATATGCACTACAAATATTAATATTATTCAATGAAGAAACATATAAAAAAATACTATAGATTAAACGGGTCAGAACTGAGTGCCCACGCTTTATAGTACCTGGCATTGCTGCTGGTAGTGAAAATGTTTTGCATTCGAAATTAACGTGTCCTAAATGTACAGCTGAATAGAAAGCAATACATATTTTTCTGTATCAGTTATATCGGGGAAAAGAGAACCACGAATCTGTTTATCTCGATCCGACAGACCCGAACGTGGACAGGCTCGCATTTTTTTACCATTTGACAATCTTGGCGTACGCGACTAAAAGGAAGGACCAACACAACAGCTAGCTTATGTTATGACAAAAGAACAATCAAATATAAAGTTAGACAGTTACCAGAACCATATGTCTAACGAGTAGGGGCCCAAGTGTGAGTCTCAGTTTTTAACGGAATATATACCAGTTTGTAGAGCTCGACGAGCTGATTCTTGTGGTATGTTTCGTTTTTTCTCGTAAAGCTTTAAAAGGAAAAAAACAGTAGCATTTATATGACGGATAACATACGAAATATCAAACTTTAAGACAATATTCTGAGAAAAGATCAAATTTAACAATCGGTTTTGGTATTTTTGATTGTTCATTCTCGTATGACAGATTAAAAAAAACACTTAAAGATATGTTGTTTTCTATATTTCGATATTGTTTTTTTGCCAGGCTAAATCATTTATTCTGTGCATTTTAAAGAATACTAAATCTGCGAAAAACTATGTTATACATTTCAAAGTTTAAGCCTTATGATTTTGATATTTCGACACTAAGATAGACTATCAGTTTACTATTTCATTCGCTTTATTCGAAAAAAATATCTACAATAGAGTCAATGAAAATGATAGATAACAAAAAAAAATATTCGAAACGCAAAGTTCGTCGGTAGTGACTACAACAAATGAAAGCACTTTCATCACAAGTATTAGATGAACAATTGTTTGTATCAAAAGAAAAGCAAACTTCTGTAACGTTCGAAAAATTCTGATATTGTCTAGAAATGTAACCACATACTGACTACGCATATGAAATCATCGGTTTGAATATAGAAGAACTGAGTTGATTATGAACCAGGCTCTGTAACTTAATGATCATATCGCGACTCCTCAAGCCAACATCTAATGCGTCTACAGCTACACGATGATAAATTCTCTTCGTTAACTCTTTCCATTGCCGGAAAAAATAAGTATCACAGGGTTGTTAAGTTGATGCTGTCCTTCCAGGTATTACCAATGAACTGCACGACTGTCCTTTTGTTAGATTCCTCTCATATACACTAATATCAGCCTGCAGAGATCATTGATCGATCAAAAGAAGAAACCCATTGGTTGTTATCTTGTCTAATACTTCTCGAACCCAATGTTCGACTAAAGATTTATTCAATTTTCCCGATTCAGTGCAAGTTTTTACTGTATTTGGTGTTGAAAAGATCTTTTTCGTTACTGGAAATCGGCCTTTAGATTCTGGAAAACAAACAAAAACAGGACTGATCAGCTGACCAGCGACACTGATGATTGGCATTACTGTATAAGAGTGTGTTATAGCATTGATAAAATTAACTAATACATAAGTCGTTGTTTCTCCTACATAAGATAACCTACGATTCGAAGTTATCTCATAATGAAAGCTGGATTCGTCTGCATTTTAGATCAAATCAAGCTTATATTTTGATATATAGTTGGTTACTTTGGCAATAGAGTTATCAGAAGTTTTTTAATGAAAGATTTATCAACAGTTTCCCGGTGAGAAATGAAATTTGTCACTTTTCTTGAACAAATATCATTGCGTTTCTTAAAATTGAGAAACCAATGATGACTTGCTGTAAAATCATGTATATTCTCTACTTTTCCCTGAGACAATGCCCGTTGCTGAACATCAACGTCGTCTACAGGGAAATTATTATCAAGAGCATGCTGAAATCTTTCAAATACAAAAGTTTCTATTCGGTTCAGTTTTTGTCGTCGATTTCCGTTATTTGCAACATATTTTCTAAATCGTTTTAATTGCATAGGATGTGTGACTCGTGGATAAGTATGCTGTAATGTCCTGAAGGAGATACCTGAACGCGCAAAGTCAACAACCTTTTGCATATATTGCAGCGTAAACTGGCGATCTTCAACTTCTTCTTGTTCCTCTTTCTCTTCATTTTCACTATGATAGTCCGGATCAAAGTGATCATTGTCAGATAATTCGAGAAAATCTTCTGATTCTATCACAAAGCTGTTACTGTTGCAAAGATCCTCTAATAAAGCAAGTAGATTTTTTGCGATCGACACTTCTTGCTCTGTGATAGTTGTTCGTTGCGTATCTGATTTCTGTAATGCATTTTCATGTATACATTTGCATATGTTAACAACGTTCATCATAAAGAAACAATTAAACTGGTCTAACTTGAAGAATTCTGATCAAAGTTTATATTAAACATTTTCTTCCAATTAGCAGATATATATATAGTAACTCCAGAGAAAAAAAAAGAATTCGCTCGAACACATTAGAAAATGATAGAAATATTTTTACACTCGGAAAGTACAGAAAGGAAAGAACAAAATAATCAACTGGAATGCACTAGAAAGAACGAGGCAATAATAGATGTATGTTTTAAATGCATAACAACAAAATGAAAAGAATTATCTTTAATTTATATGTTCAGTAGCATTACATTATGATCTAATAATATAATCGTAGTATTGAGTTAAAAAAGAACACATATTCTCCTGTTTTTTTAAGCAATTTAAAAGCAGATTATCGTATGTGCCATTAGCTATGCGCAAATATGACCATTTGAAATTTAGATATTCGTGAAATCTCGAATTCCTAACAAGTATTTCGAAACTTATTTCGAGTGAATAAGTTTTCTAATAAAATTTATCGGTTTTCTTTATTTACAGCGGAAAGAGGAAACATACTACGAGAATCAGCTCGCCGAGCTCTACAAACTGGTATGTGTTCCGTTAAAAGCTGAGACTCACACTTGGAGACCTTTTCTCGTAAGTTACGCTGATGGTTTCGCTTCTGCATTTCGACTCGATGCTGTAGCGAAATGACTCTAGAATAATTCGTAGTTTTCTATAAGTAGAGTGTCATAGAAGGATGTGGATGTTGATGTGGGTCTAGGTTACCTTTAGATAAACAAGTAACGCAAAGCAAACGTTGCTAACCCTCTACTGAAAGGATGAGTTGCATCGAAGATAGGATATTAGAAGCACTAGATATGGGAAATGATTCGTTGGCAGCACGTTAAGGAGCAGAATAAAACGAACCATTATTCTTCAAGAGTTGGAAATGTAGATTTCCATATTCTGTATTCCCTACGAAAATTGCATATTCTGAGCATGTTAAAAATATGCTTTATCTTTCCATGATATCGTCAACATTCTCCGTACTCGCTTTGTCCAGCTAAATATTCTTATAACATCATCTATATTCTGATCAATGGGTTAGTATCGCATCCCCAAGTTTCAAAATGTCTGAAATTTGAAAGCAAGCAATTGTAAGTGGCAAAAAGTCCTGTGTTAACGCCCAACAATGAATATGCGCCTGCAACAAGATGTGTGTCAAGATTCATGTCTCAATCAAAGCGATTTTTATTACTTTTATTTCATGACAAAAGCTTGTCAGCGCAACCCCTTTGGGACTGAAATGTAGAACGCACATATACTCGCAAAAAATCGCTCTTAAACTTACACTCACCATTTTCTTCGAAAAATATGTGAGTTCGACAAAACTAACTCAGCAGTCAATATATTGACTACAGTAGTATAGATTTTCTCTCTCGAGCCATTTAAGGTAAACAAATATATTATTCACTTTTTATTTTTAATATCTCTTATATTCTTTCTTGAAGGGGACAGTGTCGATATAGCTCTTCTCTTAGCTCATACTCCCACTCACATTCCATCCAATAAATCTAAATCAGCAGCAAAAACGTGTTAGCGTCAGTGATGATACACTGTGACGTTAAACCAAGATTAAGATACACTTTTTGGTTTAATTGGCTTAGGACATTTGCTCGGATAGCAGGAGATGTGGATTCAAGTTCCACGAAGGTCGTCTTTTTCTTCATTCTGTTCGTTCATTGCCTTTCTAATCGTATGAGTCATATTTGATGCTTACAAAATCCTGCCGCTATTCGACTGGATATAGCAGAGTAATGACATGCACGGCTTTGTTTCACTACGAACTTGATAACTGACGAAGATAAAGACTTTCAGTCGAAAATTCCCACTTTCGTAATTCCATACCCTGACTATACATGATCCGAATTCGATTGAAACTGACTGGGTTGTTGTAGAGCTAAAACAATCTTATTGCGAGTATCGATGTACAATAAAGTCACTAAATCGCATTTTGTTAGTTATAATTCGCTGAATGGTACGCAAATGAAATCCAAAGATGTTCGAAAACTTTGATCGATACTCATTCATGCCTGTCTAAAATTCTCAGAGATACATTTCTTACTATAGACAAATGACGGTATATAGAATATGAAGATATTGTAATAGATATGGATATTTGAATACGCAGCATATTGGCTTCATGTTTCTGATAAATTACTAGCATGGGTTCGAGTACTGTTACTCTGAAATAAAATAATAAAAACAAAAATTCTCATTATAAGTATATCATGGAAAGCACGATAGAATCTTTAACATAGAATATACGTATATCAATTTGAACGCAGCTTTTTGTTCTTTTAAATATTTAAAAACCATGTTAAGATAAAGTTTGGGTTCTATAGAAAAGTCAACTGATATTCGTCTATCTATTCAAAAGCTAGGAGGAATTTGTTGACAACTTTGTAGATTCGAATGAGTGGTTGAAAAAGAGATATCAAGGCTCTTTCTCATCGGCTGTGGGCGTGGCTATGGCTGTGAGGATCTGGGTACTGGTGTAGGTTGAATCAAAACTAGCACCCTCACCCACACCCATGGTTGTGCCTTTTGGTGTCTGAGTGTGACTGTAAGATCGGTGCCGACTTGCGATTGCGAGTGTTCTCTTCACCATCAGAAACTCTGAGGCCGTCACTCCTATGCCTATGCACATTCAGATGTCCCTGGTACACAACTTATTGATTTCCTCTCTTCTGATGGATTCCCTACCTGCTGCAGCATTGTAGACTTAATGGCGCATAGTACACTAGAAAAAAAATGGTACGACATCGAACCCAAAAGGGTGTTTTGGATTAAAAAAAGGTTTCTTGCATAGTACGGAACCTAAAAGGATTTCGATTTCGTTTCAATTCTCTGAACCGTTTTAGGTTTCGTAGATAAAACTACGAA